GGTTCGGTTGTTCAAAATTTGGTAAAAACCGAACCGAACCGACCGTTGCACACCCCTATCCCATATCACAATATTTCTCTATTATTTGTAATCACTAGACGAAGGGTTTAAAACCCGTCGTTATTATATGCACATTAATGACGGGCAAATGGTCCCTTCACTAATTTTGGTCGTTAAATAGTAGATTACTTGTAGTGGCATGTAAAAATTTTATTATCATACTCCCTTTAAAAGCACGAGTTCGGAAAATCTTTTTTAGACAAATATACCCCTTTATAGTTTGAACTACCTTATCTATAATCAAATTCTAATTTTCAATGGTCAATATTACCCTTCACTATTTTGAATATTTTATTTATATCTTAATCTATCCTAATCATAATCATATCTTATCCTAATCATATGTGAACCATGTTTAGCTTAACAATTTAAAAAAATAATATTAATAAAATATATAAAACATAAAAATGATATTAGTTTGTTAAGATAAAGAAATTACAAGTAGATAACATATTATAATATATGAAGTATTGCAAAAGCCCCTGAAAAGTTTAAAATTATAAAAATCATCCCAATGTTTCAAAACTTAAAATAAAAAACATGAAATTAAAAAATTAACATCAGTTTGCAAAGAATTTAAAATTTACAGTTAACACCTCAATGTCTCAAAAATTATAGAAAAACCCTCAAAATTTTAAATTACAGACAAGCACATTAAAATTCTAAAATTTTAAAACTTACAAACAACACAGATGAATTCAAGAGATTACCATGATACACCTAAAATTTTTGATATTTAAATTTAATTTTTTTTAATTAACACCCTCAATATCTCAAAAATTATAGAAACACCTTCAAAAGTTCAAATTATAAAAAGCCACCCTAAAATTCTAAAATTTGTAAATAAAATAAGATAATTCAAGATATTACCCTTAGACACCTAAAAAATTAAAATTTGCCAAAATTAACCTCAAAATTTTTTAAAAACTCCTTCAAAATTTAAAAATCGTAAAAAAAACTCTAAATTTTCAAAAATTTTAACTAGCAAACATCAAATTCGTCGATTGGTAGACCGCTAAAATTTAATATTTTTCAAAATTAATCTATAGTTTTAATAATTGCAAAAGACACCCTCAAAATTTTAGAGTTACAAGAAATATACTAACATTTAAAAAATTACCACCAACACATGAAACATAGAATTTACAACTACCAAACTTAAAAGTAAATTTTTTTAAAAACTCTTTCAAAATTTTAAAAATTATAAATCACACCCTCAAAGTTCAAAACCACAAAAATGAGCTAAAATTTTAAAACTTGGCAAAGAAAAGTGTAATTGTTTGGTATTTTTCATATATATATATATATATATATTAAAATTTCTAATCTAGGGATTTACTATCCATTTTCAGCATCTAAGAATAGTCTAAGTTGATACTGATAAAAAAACAATAAGAATTGATTAAAAACATCCGGTTAATGGATAAAATTTTTAAAAATATTATAGATTAAAAATTATCGGCACTATATAAATTAAAGTAATTTCATATAATTTTAGTAATAAGTTGGGGTAGCCAAAATACATTCGTAACATTAATTGATAGATGTTTAAATCCATAGAAATGATAAAACACTATAATATTATACCTTAGCATTAATTGATTTTAATTTAGAAACTTTAATCTTTGACGTTAATAATATTTATAAGGTAAAAGAATACAAGGAATTACATATGGAGAAACTATTAGAATATTTAGAGATAACTTTAAAAGAATTGAGTTATTTTCATTATAAATGGGAAAGTGATGGAAATAAATCTAAAATTCAGAAAACGTTAATGAATCACTTGAATTGGCTTTAACAAAGACATATCTATTAATGAAGCACTGGATGAGCTACATTAAAAAATAACTTAATAACTTTATCCTAATCAAATAAAAAATCTCCATGGAAGACATAAGAAAAATTAGTAAGTATTCATAATTCCATATTGTGTTCTTCAAATTAAATATTAATATTATAATCTAAGAGAAATTTGTAATGAATAATGCAGGTATTTAGTTTAGATCTTTATGGAAAATGACAGGGATAGAGCAAATGTAATATTATTGAAATAACAGAAATTATTATTGGATGCACATCAGAAGAATTCATTTTAGAGGAAAATAAAGAGATAGCTTCTAATTTATTTAAGTAATAAATTAGGAACACAAAGAATTTTATATATATGAAATTAATATTTATTCTCATTGAAATAGGAAAAAAAATCAAAGTCTATATTTTGAGCAGTTTGTGTTGAACATCATAAGTACATTTGACTTCTTTGTAAAGTTAAATGAGATGATAAAAATTTAACGAGCATAGGAAAGATAATAGCATAAAAAATACAAAATTAGTCTGATGTCACAATTGATGTAGATGATGAAGACAATACTCTAGAATTGTCCGAGAAATGATAAATGATAAACCTGAAGAATGATTGATCTTAACTCAATAAAAAATAAAATAGAAGAAATGAAAACAATATTTTATTAATATTTTATAGAATAGTTTAATTATTTTGAGTGAAATTAGGAATCTTTAGAAGAGAGTTTCATGAATTTTTTTCAGTACTTTTATATTCTTATGTGGATGTTTTTATCATATAAAAGTATACTAGAGTTAGCATTAATCTTTAATTTATATTTTTTTATGAAGTCTATCAATGATTAGGAATAAACTTCATATTCTCTTTTGCATCGTTTTAACATACTTTAAATCAATCATTTTGCCATATTGATTTTAAATATTCACCTTCCTTGTATAACATTATTTTAATATTTTTTACTTTGCAATGCTATACTTTCTCAAATAAAGCTTAGTTTCATATCGGTCAAAAATAATATGAAAATTCAAATTATTTTTAAATTATATTTGTTTTTTGTCAATTCAAATATCAACATGAAAATTTAAATTGGGTGTATCCCATTTAAACAAACATAAAAAAATAATCGGGATGTAAGAGTTTAAAGAAAAAAATGAGCACAAACTGCAAAAAATACTTAATCATGGTATTAAATCACGTGCATTGCACGTGTGTAAAAACTAGTCTAATAAAAATTCATCAATTTATCAACTCATTCTTACTTGATGGATTAATATTTAAAATTTAAGGGTATTTTTATCTACCAAAAGATTTTCCCAAACTTTTGCTTATAAGAAGTATGATATGATACGACATGCAAAACCCAATAGATCCAATACCAGGCCTCAATAAAGTGCCGACCAGAGCGGGTCGGGTTAAATAACTGTTACCCGTTCTCCAACCCCCTATTATTAATAACCACCAAAACCTAGGGTTTACAAATCTCACGCCCTCAGTGTCCTCCTCCTCTCGCGCCGCTCTCCAATCTCTCGCAGCAAAAACCCTAAAAATGGCGGAGCAGGTAAATTCTTCCAAAGCCCAAGCCCTAATCTCGTACAAATGTCATTGCGATTTGTTCAAAGATTCGATCTTTGATTGGCTGTTGATTGTTCGTTTGTCTGTCTGCAGACTGAGAAGGCGTTCTTGAAGCAGCCAAAGGTGTTCCTTTGCTCGAAGAAATCAGGGAAGGGGAAAAGGCCTGGAAAGGGAGGGAACAGATTCTGGGAAGAGCGTTGGGCTCGGATTCAAGGTCGGCCAAGAGAAGCCATCGATGGTACGGAGCTATTTTTTTTCTAGGTTTTTTTTGTTTATTAAATCGGGGTGAATCACTGGGCTCATTAACAAAAAGCAGTTTTTTTTTGCTGGATATGTAGTTTGTTTAGTTGCTTAGAAAAATTCTCCAACTTGTGAACTGTGAAATGTGGTATTTTATTATTACTATTTTGGTGATTCTGATTATGTCAGCTAAGCTGATGGTAATGGAATTTTTATAAATGTGAAATATTTGTGATATACGAGCCTTTGCAGGTGTAAATTAGACGGTGTATTTTTTTTTTTCGAAGTTGATATAAATGCGCTGTTATTTTCAAATATACAAATTTAATTGGGATCTGTCAAGAAAATGGTTCACTAGTGTAGCCAGTAACTAACTGCTGTCTCATTTTACAAGAGTACATGCATTAATATAGTGTAATTATTATGTCAGGCTCTACTACCCTAGAGTGTGTGATTTGATAATTTCATCTTATCGTGTACAAAATGATACAAAAAATAAATTAAATGGAAATATCCAAATTGCTAGTAGAGATATACTATATGTTTTTTCTTGAAAAATAGTGGTATGACAAGTAAATGTATGTTCAAAAATGATATCATGATCTGGAGGTAGGATGGCATCAGAGATGGATTGGGATTCATTAGCTGTTATAGATTTTAATTACTCTTTTCCTAAGTCAATTAGGGAGATTAATACTAATTTATTTCTCAGTTTTCTTGCAATTTTCCCCCCAAACAACAATCAATAAGTGTGGAGCTTTAACGTTTCGAAGCAAATGTTGTGCAACATCTTTTTCTTTTATTAAGGCATGACAGTACCGGAGCATCTTTATTGTTTAGAAATGAATAGCCATTTCTTACAGGCTGTTTGCTAGAAACTTTTAGACATAATTAATACTTGCTTTCTGTAACACTACATTATAGTTATAGGTACTCTCCAACATAACATTTTCTTTGGATTCCAACTTCCCAGATTATACTACTGTATATGTTTCTTGTAGGGGGTGTTAGTCAATTGGGACATTTTCATGCAAAATGAGATAATTGTTAAAGTGGAATAATTTTTCGCTAGTAATATATTTTAGTGGGATAAACAGGAACAATTTTGTGAAACTGGATATTTTAATAAAATAACGTGGGATAAATTTTTATAATCATGAAATATATATTTATGCATATTTGAGGATATAAATACTATTTATGTATTTTAAACTTATTATTATTGATTGATGATTCCTTACGAGAATGTTCTTTACTATTAAATAATTTTTGGTTAGACTATAAGATATTGACATTTATTATTATGATGATGGTCTAATGATGGTGATAACCATAATAGGAAAGAAGTAAAGAAAAAATATATAAAAATAACAAATAACAAATTAAATATGAGTTCTAGTTTTTTATCACCTAGTTCCAAGCTAAAACATGGAATAATTTTAGAGACTAGATCTCTCATTTTTGTATAGAAAAATGAAAAAGCGGGATAATTTTGTACCATTATCTCAATTCTAGTTTTGTTAGAGTTCTACTTGACTAACACTATAAAATTTTGTTCTAGTTTTAGTTCTATGTGACTAACACCTTAAAAATTTATCCCAGTTCCAAATTTAAGTTCTAGATGATTAACCCCCCGTAGGGATTTCTTGTTATTTATTAAATAGTGTTATTTTTATTTAAATTCTTTCTATTTGATTTTTCACATGAAGGTTGTACACTTAATCTGTTTTACATTCATACAACCTAAATTGTATTATTGTTATCTTTCTTGTAGGAACATACATTGACAAGAAGTGCCCATTTACCGGCGATGTTTCTATCAGGGGTCGTATTCTAGCAGGAACATGCCACAGTGCCAAGATGAACAGGACTATTATTGTCAGAAGAAACTACCTTCACTTTGTGAAGAAGTATCAGAGGCAAGTTTTTTTTTAAAAGTTTGTTTATGCTCTTCTGAGATCCTTTTCATAGTTCAAATAAAATTTAACTTCTCGTCTTTCTCAGGTATGAAAAGAGGCATTCGAATATTCCTGCTCACATCTCACCTTGCTTCCGTGTGAAGGAAGGAGACCATGTGATCATTGGCCAGTGCAGGTAAAACAATATATTATTTAGCTAGTAATTGAAATATTTTCTATTGAGCTGGCTATTGACTTGTGAATGATTTAGATTCATTGTAGTCTTAGATGTACTTTTCATTTTCTTTTAGACTTAATTTACAGGTCTCAATGTCTATCAAAGTTTTTTGTTTATCAAGTATGTGTATATATGTGTAGCATTCAAGTCCATAAATATTAATTTGGGTTCTTGTAGGATCATTTGTAATTAAGGTTCATATTAGGAAGAAGCCCTAGTCATATAAAAGAAGCAAAGTTTTACTTGTTTCACTTTATATGATGGCACATGTATCCGTACAGTCGGAAGCTCAACCGTACTTGACACTTCCTAACCGAATGGTTATTATTGTCAGAAACAATTCTTTAAAGGAAACCGAAACTATATAAACGTCATACTTCAGGAAATTAAGTCATGGTTGAAATTTGAACCTGCAAGTCGAAGAATTATGTTTCACTGCAAGTTCTTCTGAAAAGGATTTATTGCATTTCTACCATCAATAATCTATTGAAATAGTTTCCCACACTTGTTATTAATATGTACCTAATGTTTTTTCTATTAATTTGAGAACCTTTGTTTTGGGGGTAATATGAGCTTCTTGTGAATTTCTTGTAGAACTGTCCATCTAAGAACTTTCTTAACATTGGCTACTTCTGTTATATAGAATATTTTTTGCTAGTAGTTCATGATAGATCGACCTTTATTTTCCCTGCAGGCCTTTGTCCAAGACTGTGAGGTTCAATGTGTTGAGGGTCATTCCAGCTGGATCAACTGGTGGAGGAAAGAAGGCTTTCACTGCAATCTAAGTATCTCACCAACCTATTTCCTTGATGACTTGGCTTTACCCTGAGCTTTTTGTTTTTGGGATTATGTAGTTTGTTCGGCTATTAGTTTTTGCTTATGAGACCATATTTTGTAAGCTTTTTATTTGTACTGGTTCGCCTTTGCTCGAAATTTGTTCCAGATAATGATATTTTGGACAGTAAGTAAGTTTTTCTTTAGTTTAGTCTTGTGCCTTAATTTTGAGATTATTGTGATACTCCCCTGTTTAGAAAAATTACTGTTTCCATCTTCATTGAATTGTTGTAGTGTTTGTGCATATATGCTTCTTAGAAATTATTTGAAACATCAATTCGCGTTTGATATATTTGAAGTTTATGTTCTGTTGGTTACTCAAAGCAGATATCTGCATTCTTTGGGTTCGTAAATGCTTTTCATCTCGGAATGATACGTCTGTTATCTGTAACGCCACTGCATTAACTGTCTCTTATTATTAACTCTATATTGTTTTACCCACCGCTGTTGATCTGGAGTTGAGTTTCTTCCCACAGGTTTTGAGAATTGTTTTGGGTTCGATTATTTAAATAAAAAAAAGTTTATGTTGTTTTCTTAGATGCCTGAGCTTCATGTAGAGTGCTGAAGAAACAATACCTGAGCCCTACAAACACCAGAGCCTCTGGCCTTTGTTGATTATTTATCTATATCAAGAAAAAGATCAGTTACCCTACATTGTTAGGTTGACTGCATTCTCAAGCTTGAAGAAAGAAAAAACAAATACAATTCCTCTGCAAGTCATGCCCATTGCTAGCCTTACACTTCAAGTGCTCCTCTTAATATACTCCTCCCCCTCGCTCTCTCTCATTTCGCCATGGCGATCAGAACTCCAACCCTCACCTTCACCCTCTTCACCTCTCTCTCCGTTGCTCTCCTCTCCCTCTACCCTCAACCCTACGATCTCTCACATTGCCTCAATCTCCTCCTCAATCCTTCATTCGAAAACCTTCGTCTTTGTTTCTCTGATATAGATGAGCATCACCATCATAAGCCTCCAAGCTCGAACCAGACGACCATTTGCAGCGATTTTCCACCGGGTATTCCTCCCCCGGACACAGACACCACGTCTTTCCTCTGCGTCGATCCCAACGGTTGCTGCAACTTCACCTCTGTTCAGTCTGCTGTCAACGCCGTTCAAAACTTCAGCTCCAAGAGGACGGTTATATGGATCAATGAAGGGGTCTACTAGTAAGTTTTTTTTTTTTTTGTTCACAAAATGAGTCCTATTACCGGTATGTTTTCTTGACCGTGAAGTACCTGATTTGTGCGGTGATGGTTTTTAGTGAGAAAATAACGGTGCCTGTTACGAAACAAAACGTCACGTTTCAAGGGCAAGGGTTCATCACGACGGCGCTTGGATGGAACGATACTGCCAGGACTGCCAACGGAACTTTTAACAGCGCATCTGTCGCAGTGTTCGGCGCTAACTTCGTCGCCAAGAATATAAGTTTCATGGTACGTAAATGCACGATGATGCGAACCGGGTAAAGTTTCCTGAACTTGAGGGTAAAGTTTCGTGATAATGGTGCGTATATAACCCCAGTTATGTTATGTGGCGTATCAGAATCTCGCTCCGATAGCTCAGCCTGGTGAGGTCGGCGCACAGGCGGTGGCGATCAGGGTTGCTGGCGACCAGGCCGCCTTCTGGGGCTGCGGATTCTTCGGCGGTCAAGATACCCTCCACGATGACAAGGGTCGGCATTATTTCAAGGAGTGCTTCATCCAAGGCTCCATAGATTTCATCTTCGGAAATGGAAGGTCCCTGTACGAGGTATGATGGTATTTCAATTCCTAGCAGCACGAGACAAAGCTAGCTAAAATTAATTAGCCTGAAGCGTAAATATTACTGATCCAATGGCTGGCTGATATCCCTCTGGACCACAGCTAGAAATCGGACGTTTGTTGATTTGTTTTTGCCCCTCTACTGCATTTTGATGCAGAACTGCACCATAATCTCCGTAGCCAAACCGGTGACCCCCGGGGCGAAGGTGATCAACGGCGTCGTAACCGCGCACGGGAGGAGCACGGGCGACGACAACACGGGCTTCTTTTTCATCAACTGTTTCGTCGGAGGGACGGGCAGGATCTGGTTAGGCAGAGCTTGGCGGCCCTTCGCTCGCGTCGTCTTCGCTTATACTTACATGACCGACGTTATAGCTTCTGAAGGGTGGAACGACTTCAACTCGCCAGACAGAGATCAGTAAGAACCGCACATAACCCATTTGTTAAGTAAATTTTTTTTTTGATTGAGGAAGAATAATACGCATGATCGGTGTTTGAGGCTTATTTTTTTCCCCCCCGCATGTTAGGACCGTGTTCTTTGGGGAGTACAGGTGCAGTGGGCCGGGTGCGAACACAACACTGAGGGCAGCTTACGGTCAGCAGCTCAACGATACACAAGCTTCTCCCTTTCTTAATGCTTCTTACATCGACGGAGATCAATGGCTACAACCTTTTAGCCTAAGCATCTTTTCTATGTAAAAAATTAAAACCATTGTTGAGATGATCCACGTCGCATTTAATTCGTCAATTGAAAGATGGTAACTTCTTGAATTTGCCATCTCTTCTTATTGCCAAAAAATGATAAGCTAACACGAGTTGAATGTTGAAGATATCTCGCATCGTAAGCTCCTATTTGACTAGAAAAATCTGATGTATTTGGTTAAATTTGTTGTTACGTGCGCGTGCAGCATAGATCACACGAGACCTTATGCCTAGTTGCAAATTGAATGCGATTGGAGTTGTGTAACTTAAAACTTAAGTTTGTAGTAGGAAAGTTTAGTCTCACGTTGAATAGGAGATGAGAATGAGGGTTGTTTATAAGCATTCCCTTTCTCTCCTATGCCTAGAAAGAAATATGAGTTATGCTTCGCACTACACACGTGCGCGCCGGATCGGGTTGTGCTCTGGTCGGGAGGCGCGCGCCCACGACCCGCGGACACGAATGCCCCTCCGGATTGAGGGGCCCCTTAACCTGCTACATTTTTGTTTTTTGCAAATTAGAACAATTAAAACGTGATTAATATGGTGCAAATTAAAAACGTGATTGATGTGGATCTTCTCTTCAAGATAATTAAAACAGCTGGGAGAATTAAAACGGAAAATTGAAACGACTATCTTTAGGAGAATTAAAACCAGAATTAGAACAGAAACGGATCTTCAGGAGAATTAAAACGATAATTAAAAACAGCAATTGAAAACGGCTATTCTTAATTAACCTCTATAAAAACTCATATCTGTGAGGGCTAAAGTCAGGGATTGAAAACTGAGCGGTTAAATCATCATGAAGCTGACGATTAAATCACGATCCGCGGACACGAATGCAGCTCCGGATTGAATGAATGACCCTTAACCTGCTACATTTTAGATTTTTGTTTTTTTTTCAAATTAGAACAATTAAAACGTGATTAATATGGTACATGTTAAAAACGTGATTAATGCGGATCTTCTCTTCAAGATAATTAAAACGGTTAGGAGAATTAAAACGAAAAATTGAAACGACTATCTTTAGGAGAATTAAAACCAGAATTAGAACATAAACGGATCTTCAGGAGAATTAAAACGATAATTAAAAACAGCAATTGAAAACGGCTATTCTTAATTAACCTCTATAAAAACTCATATCTGTGAGGGCTAAAGTCAGGGATTGAAAACTGAGCGGTTAAATCATCATGAAGCCGACGGTTAAATCACGACCCGCGGACACGAATGCAGCTCCAGATTGAATGAATGACCCTTAACCTGCTACATTTTAGATTTTTGTTTTTTTTTCAAATTAGAACAATTAAAACGTGATTAATATGGTACATGTTAAAAACGTGATTAATGCGGATCTTCTCTTCAAGATAATTAAAACGGTTAGGAGAATTAAAACGAAAAATTGAAACGACTATCTTTAGGAGAATTAAAACCAGAATTAGAACATAAACGGATCTTCAGGAGAATTAAAACGATAATTAAAAACAGCAATTGAAAACGGCTATTCTTAATTAACCTCTATAAAAACTCATATCTGTGAGGGCTAAAGTCAGGGATTGAAAACTGAGCGGTTAAATCATCATGAAGCCGACGGTTAAATCACGACCCGCGGACACGAATGCAGCTCCAGATTGAATGAATGACCCTTAACCTGCTACATTTTAGATTTTTGTTTTTTTTTCAAATTAGAACAATTAAAACGTGATTAATATGGTACATGTTAAAAACGTGATTAATGCGGATCTTCTCTTCAAGATAATTAAAACGGTTAGGAGAATTAAAACGAAAAATTGAAACGACTATCTTTAGGAGAATTAAAACCAGAATTAGAACATAAACGGATCTTCAGGAGAATTAAAACGATAATTAAAAACAGCAATTGAAAACGGCTATTCTTAATTAACCTCTATAAAAACTCATATCTGTGAGGGCTAAAGTCAGGGATTGAAAACTGAGCGGTTAAATCATCATGAAGCCGACGGTTAAATCACGACCCGCGGACACGAATGCAGCTCCAGATTGAATGAATGACCCTTAACCTGCTACATTTTAGATTTTTGTTTTTTTTTCAAATTAGAACAATTAAAACGTGATTAATATGGTACATGTTAAAAACGTGATTAATGCGGATCTTCTCTTCAAGATAATTAAAACGGTTAGGAGAATTAAAACGAAAAATTGAAACGACTATCTTTAGGAGAATTAAAACCAGAATTAGAACATAAACGGATCTTCAGGAGAATTAAAACGATAATTAAAAACAGCAATTGAAAACGGCTATTCTTAATTAACCTCTATAAAAACTCATATCTGTGAGGGCTAAAGTCAGGGATTGAAAACTGAGCGGTTAAATCATCATGAAGCCGACGGTTAAATCACGACCCGCGGACACGAATGCAGCTCCAGATTGAATGAATGACCCTTAACCTGCTACATTTTAGATTTTTGTTTTTTTTTCAAATTAGAACAATTAAAACGTGATTAATATGGTACATGTTAAAAACGTGATTAATGCGGATCTTCTCTTCAAGATAATTAAAACGGTTAGGAGAATTAAAACGAAAAATTGAAACGACTATCTTTAGGAGAATTAAAACCAGAATTAGAACAGAAACGGATCTTCAGGAGAATTAAAACGATAATTAAAAACAGCAATTGAAAACGGCTATTCTTAATTAACCTCTATAAAAACTCATATCTGTGAGGGCTAAAGTCAGGGATTGAAAACTGAGCGGTTAAATCATCATGAAGCTGACGGTTAAATCACGATCCGCGGACACGAATACAGCTCCGGATTGAATGAATGACCCTTAACCTGCTACATTTTAGATTTTTTTTTTTTTTCAAATTAGAACAATTAAAACGTGATTAATATGGTACATGTTAAAAACGTGATTAATGCGGATCTTCTCTTCAAGATAATTAAAACGGTTAGGAGAATTAAAACGAAAAATTGAAACGACTATCTTTAGGAGAATTAAAACTAGAATTAGAACATAAACGGATCTTCAGGAGAATTAAAACGATAATTAAAAACAGCAATTGAAAACGGCTATTCTTAATTAACCTCTATAAAAACTCATATATGTGAGGGCTAAAGTCAGGGATTGAAAAACTGAGCGGTTAAATCATCACGAAGCTGACGGTTAAATCATCACCGCGTCTTTGTGAATAGTTAAAAGAACATTCTAATGGTATTATTACATACGGTCATTCTCATAAAATTTCTCCTGACGTAAGAGACAAAATTCAAATGGATGGGAAGCATGATGGCGATTACTGATTAGTGCTTGACCTTTTGACTTTTCAACAGCCACCATGACTCACACAAAAAAAATGGAGCCCACATCATCACCTCTCCCACTGCACCTTTTTCTAGCACGTTTCCATTGTCAGTGGGCCCCCCTTTCTAAAGCTCTCAAATCACGAGTTCACACCATTACTCGAGTGTTTAGTGCTTTTACTACATATTAATCTTAGGCAAGGGAAGCCCTTTTGCAAAAACTTTTTTTTTTTCCTTTTTCTTTTTTAAGTTTACACATGTAATTTACACACAAAAAAAAATAGTAAATTATTTTTTTAATTAAACATGAATCGTCTTTTATGTGATCAGGTATATCCAATTCACAAACAATCTCAAACGACTTATTTGCCACAAAAAAAAAAAGACCCTAATTAAAAGGGATCCGTAATTATTATTCCCATCAACTTTGTTTGCAATAAAAACATTTACAAAGACTACCCCAGTTTCATAAACTTTCCTTACAAAAAATACCCCCCGCTCCTACTGTTACCTCCCATCATCCCCTCCAAAAAGAACCCGTTGTTACTGGCGGCAGCAGAGCTGATACTAAACCCATCATTAACGGTACCTCCCGGTAACGTTACCGCCTCGTCAAACTGCCCAAACTGCCCACGTGAGCACACAAGTTGGCCTGGGTGTTGTTGTTGGACCTGCACGCCCTCCCCGAGCCCAAAGCTGATAACGGGCCGAGAAGGGGATGCATACGGCCCAACTGGAGCCCCTGTGAATTGCTGGACCATGGCCCGGAAGTTGGTCGGGTCCGTGTTGAGCATCGTCGTCGGAGTGCTCTCGAGGCCCGGGCCGCTTCGGGCAGACTTGCCGACGCGGCCCTCTACGTTGTTGGTGGGCTGGGATGAGGCCGGCCTTGTAGACGACGTTGGAGTCGGCGGCTTCGAGGGTAGTATTGGCCCAATTTGGGCCCAGTCGTTGGGGGAGGTCATCGCCGCTGGTTCGGTGGAGAGGAGGGATGATGAGTGAGGCTGGGGAGATATTTATAGGGAGAAAATAAAAGGCTATAGAGTTTTTTTTTAATTAATGGTAGGCTATAGAGATTTTTCGTAGAAGTATAAAGATGAAAATTGTGGTGCGTATTTTATTATAGATTTAATCCCTTTTTTTAAACTCTTTTTAGAGTAAAAAGATTTCACTTAGAGGGTCTACATGTACTGGGACAATATTAATTGCAAAAATCTACCTATACCAATAGAACTACGAATGGTCCGTCTAGAATTAGCTATTCATTATGTCAGCACAAAGTAATAATATCACTTGAAATAAATTATTTGATCAATACATATAACTATAACAATTAGTGGATTGTAAGGCACTGTTTGGCAACAAAAAAAATGTCTTATCTAAGAGCTGATAGATCTACATCATAAAACTTGAGATCTAAAACCATATAGCCATAATTAATTCAAAGAGATTAACAAGGATCTAAAAGAGCGGAAGCTTATACCTGAATCCATTGCTTGGTCTTGATTTTGGGTTTTGGATCTTCTAACCTTAGGGTTTCTCTAAATCCGAATTTCTCTAGCTAGATGGGGGTGTAGAGAATTAGAGAATGTAACCCTAGGTTAGGGACCATAACCCCTTATTTATAGATGTTGTACTTTTGTAATTTAGCCCCTCAATAAATCACAATTACAACCCGGTATCTGCACATATAACCCCATGACTTATTTAAATACCAAATTAACCCAACTTAATTGATCACTTTAGTGGGTTATCCTGAAAGATAGCAATACACATTGATTAATCATATGTGCCCACAAATAGATTTATTAGATTAAATCCAACAATCTCCCACTTGGGCACCATATGATTCCTTAAATTGTGTATAACCTTATGAGCTCAAAAATTGCTATCACTGAAAAGGTATTTCCGAACAATCTCGTCCATTGACTATATCAATATAGGATCAAAGCGGCCTTCGTCACATTTATCGTGACTCGACCCATCAATGGTCACATATACCAATACAATCAAACGACATAGATCAATCATGGATGTGCAGCATGAAAATTACATGCAATGTGATCAGTACATGTCTATTTTCAACTGGTCCTCCTTAGTGAGGTCAAAACCAAACATAATGTAACAGAGTGTCTTAACTGAAAACTTTATTCTGATCAGACAATACAAACAAACATAAAGCACCACAAATACAAACTCCCACTAAAACATAATATCCTCAAATAATACCACACCCATATGAGCAGTATGCTCATGAAAGACCTTAGGTGGCAATCCCTTAGTAAGAGGATCAGCTAACATGGAGTTTGTCCCAATGTGCTCTATGGATATCTGTCCACTCTGTACCCTTTCTTTCACAACCAGGAACTTAATGTCAATATGTTTTGACTTAGTTGAGCTCCTGTTGTTATTGGAATACATTACTGCAGATTTATTGTCACAATATAACCTTAGTGGTCTTTCAACATTTTCCAAAATGCGCAGTCCCGTGACAAAATTTCGCAGCCATATTCCCTGATTGGATGCCTCATAGCAAGCTACAAATTCTGCTGCCATAGTGGAGGAAGCTACTAGTGTTTGTTTGACACTTTTCCATGATATAGCTCCTCCTGCTAACATATAAATGTAGCCTGATGTAGACTTCCTGCTATCTTGGCATCCAGCAAAATCAGAGTCCGAATACCCAATGACCTCTAATTTCTCTGATTTTCTGTATGTGAGCATGTAATCTTTTGTTTTCTGAAGATACCTCATAACCCTTTTGACTGCTATCCAATGATCCATACCAGGGTTGCTTAAGTATCTGCCTAACATCCCAACAATGTACGCAATATCCGGACGCGTACATACCTGAGCATACATTAGACTTCCTACAGCCGAAGCATAAGGAATCTTCTGCATTTCCTGAATTTCAAGGTTACCTTTAGGGCACTGATTGAGACTAAACTTGTCTCCTTTAGCAACAGGGGTGTCACCTGGTCTGCAATCTTGCATGCCAAACCTTTTAAGTACCTTATCGATATAGCTCTTTTGTGATAATCCAAGAATACCCCGAGAGCGATCTCGATGTATCTGGATCCCTAATATAAAAGAGGCGTCCCCAAGATCTTTCATCTCAAAATTCTTTGATAGAAATCTCTTGGTTTCGTGCAACATGCCTATATCATTAGTGGCAAGCAAGATGTCATCCACATACAGAACCAGAAAAATATACTTACTCCCACTGAACTTGTGATATACACAGTCATCAACAATGTTCATCTCAAAACCGAACGAGATAACTATTTGTTGAAACTTATGATACCATTGACGAGGAGCTTGCTTGAGTCCATAGATGGATTTCCTTAATTTGCAAACCATATTCTTTGGGTCTCCTGACACAAAGTTTTCTGGTTGCACCATATAAATCATCTCATCAATGTCTCCATTGAGAAATGCAGTCTTAACATCCATCTGATGTAACTCAAGATCATAATGAGCAACAAGTGCCATGATTATTCTGAAAGAGTCTTTCGATGAAACCGGAGAGAAAGTCTCTGTATAATCAATGCCTTCCTTTTGAGTATAGCCTTTAGCCACAAGACGCGCCTTATACCTCTCCACATTACCGTTTGCATCCCGCTTGGTTTTAAAAATCCATTTACAACCAATTGGTTTTGCACCTTCTGGCAATGGGACAAGTTCCCAAACCTTATTGTCTTGCATAGACTTATACTCTTCATTCATGGCATCAATCCACTGTTGAGAGTTAGAACTTTTCATGGCCTGAGAGAAGTTGATTGGATCATCTTCTAACATTCCACTACTTTCCTCATGTTCTTGGAGAAATACAATATAATCATCCGGAATAGCATTTCTCCTTTCTCTCGTGGATCTCCTTAATGGCACTGGTTCTTGAGGTTGTTGAGTTTGTTCTTCTGGAACAGGGAGTTGTTCAACATTATCATCTTGAGGTTCCGGATTTACTTCTTGAGCAACAACAGGTATAGGAACCTGAATATTGTCAAAAGTAACTGTATGGATTGGATCTGAAGCCAATTCCTCCTCAAAACTAATGTCTCTAACCTTATTTCTCCCCCCAAACTCAACATCCTCAAAGAATGTTGCTGTTCCCGTCTCAAAAATATTCCTTATAGTGGGATCATAAAACTTATAGCCCCTAGAGCGATCAGGGTACCCAATAAAGTAGCTGCTAACTGTTTTGGAGTCCAATTTCTTTTCATTTGGCCTATAAGGCCTTGCCTCAGCTGGACATCCCCAAATATGTAAATGCTTTAAACTGGGCTTTCGACCAGTCCAAAGCTCATAAGGTGTTTTAGCAACTGCTTTACTTGGTACTCTATTCAGAATGTAAGCTGCTGTCTTAAGTGCTTCTCCCCAGAGTGACTCTGGTAAAGAAGAATGAGCAATCATACTTCTTACCATATCCTTAAGAGTCCTGTTTCGTCTTTCAGCTACACCATTCATGCTAGGTGAACCCGGCATAGTGTACTGTGGGACGATACCGCATTCCTCTAGGTATCTAGCAAATGGTCCTGGACGTTGTTCACCTGAACCATCATATCTACCGTAGTACTCACCACCACGATCAGATCTGACGGTTTTAATTCTTCTGTTGAGTTGATTCTCAACTTCAGCTTTATAGGCTTTGAACATGTCCAGAGACTCAGATTTTTCATGAATAAGATATAGGTGCCCATAACGTGAGTAATCGTCTATGAATGATATAAAATATTGTTGACCATTCCAGGATTCCGTAGGGAATGGCCCACAAATATCCGTATGTATCAATTCTAAGACATCCGAAGATCTGTTGGCACCTAATCTCTTCACTTTGGTCTGTTTTCCCTTGATACATTCAACACATACGTCGAAGTCCGAAAAATCAAGGGAATCCAAAATGCCATCAGACACAAGACGCTCAACTCTACCTTTTGAGATATGACCTAAGCGCTTATGCCATAATGTCGCCGAATTTTCCTTATTTAATTTACGCTTAGTACCACGTGATTCCACATGCAAGGATTCATTGTAAGAAGCAATTGTATCAAGCAAATATAGGTTGTCATAAATACTCAAGTAACCGGTTCCCACAACATTTGAATTAAAAGATAAACTGAATTGACTGTTTCCAAATGAACAAGAATAACCTGATTTGTCCAATACAGAAACAGAAACCAAATTCCGTCTAAAAGACGGTACTACAAAAGTATCTTTTAAATCCAAATAATAACCAGTTCCTAACAACAACCTAAAGTGCCCAATTGCTTCCACATCTACCGATTGTCCGTCGCCCACAAAGATGTGTCTTTCAACATCACTTGGCTTTCGGTAGCTCAGGCAACCCTGCATAGAAACACTTATGTGAGTAGTAGCACCAGAGTCTAACCACCAAGTGTTTCTAGGTACTGAAGCTAAATTAACCTCAGAACAGACCAAAGCAAGGAACGTACCCTTATTATCACGCCAGGCGTGATATTTTGTACAGTCCTTCTTTACATGTCCAGGCTTCTTACAGAAGAAACAACCCTGATTATCCTTATGTTGTTTCTTCTCAACTGGACCCTTAGCAGCTTCCTTATCATTCTTCCTTTTCTTGCCCTTATCCTTAGAGGCATAGGCCAAATGAGCACTTTCTGTCTTATCTTGCTTCAACCTGTCTTCTTCTTGCACACAGTATGAAATGAGCTCATTTAGAGTCCATTTCTCCTTTTGACAGTTATAACTGACCTTAAATTGGTTAAACTGTGCAGGAAGAGACAACAAAACCAGATGCACTAATAACTCGTCACAAAGATCGAGTTTAAGTGCCTTAAGCTTTGAAGCAATATGAGACATTTCCATAATGTACTCCCTGATATTTCCTTTGCCCTTATACTTCATTGAAATCAAGCGAGCTAAAAGCGTGCTTGTTTCTACCTTATCGTTTTTCGCAAAACGCTTCTCAATTTCGGCAAGGAAATCT